GCTGTGAACCTGTCTGGACCTGGGCTTTTTTTGTGTGGTAGGCTCTTAATTGCTGCCTCGACTTATGACCTTGTTATTGGTCTATTCATAGTTTCAGCTTCCTCCTGGTTTAGGCTTGGGAGGACACAGGAGTCCAGGAATTTATCCATTTCTTCCAGGTTTACTAGTTTATGTGCATAGAGTTGTTTGTAATATTCTCTGATGATGGTTTGAATTTCTGTGGAATCTGTGGCGATTTCCCCTTTATCATTTTTTATTGCATCTATTTGGTTGTTCTCTCTTTTATTTTTAATAAATCTGGCTAGTGGTCTGTCTATCTTGTTGATCTTTTCAAAAAACCAGCTCTTAGATTTATTGATTTTTTGAAGGGTTTTTCGTGTCTCAATCTCCTTCAGTTCAGCTCTGATCTTAGTTATTTCTTGTCTTCTACGGGGTTTTGAGTTTTTTTGATCTTGCTCCTCTAGCTCTTTCAATTTTGACGATAGGGTGTCAATTTTGGATCTCTCCATTCTCCTCGTATGGGCACTTATTGCTATATACTTTCCTCTAGAGACTGCTTTAAATGTGTCCCAGAGATTCTGGCATGTTTTGTCTTCGTTCTCATTGGTTTCGAAGAACTTCTTTATTTCTGCCTTCATTTCATTGTTTACCCAGTCAACATTCAAGAGCCAGTTGTTCAGTTTCCATGAAGCTGTGCGGTTCTGGGTTGGTTTCTGAATTCTGAGTTCTAACTTGATTGCACTATGGTCTGAGAGGCTGTTTGTTATGATTTCAGTTGTTTTGCTTTTGCTGAGCAGTGCTTTACTTCCAATTATGTGGTCAATTTTAGAGTAGGTGTGATGTGGTGCTGACAAGAATGTATATTCTGTGGATTTGGGGTGGAGAGATCTGTAAATGTCTATCAGGTTTGCTTGCTCCAGCTCTGAGTTCAAGCCCTGGATATCCTTGTTGATTTTCTGTGTGGTTGATCTGTCTAATATTGACAGTGGAGTGTTAAAGTCTCCCACTATTATTGTGTGGGAGTCTAAGTCTCTTTGTAAGTCATTAAGAACTTGCCTTATGTATCTGGGTGCTCCTGTATTGGGTCCATATATGTTTAGAATCGTTAGCTCTTCTTGTTGTATCGATCCTTTTACCATTATGTAATGGCCTTCTTTGTCTCTTTTGATCTTTGTTGCTTTAAAGTCTATTTTATGAGAGATGAGAATTGCAACTCCTGCTTTTTTTTGCTCTCCATTTGCTTGGTAAATCTTCCTCCATCCCTTTATTTTGAGTCTTTGTGTATCCTTGCATGTGAGATGGGTTTCCTAAATACAGCACACTGATGGGTTTTGGATTTTTATCCAATTTGCCAGTCTGTGTCTTTTGATTGGTGCATTTAGTCCATTTACATTTAGGGTTAATATTGTTATGTGTGAATTTGATACTGCCATTTTGATGCTAAGTGGCTGTTTTGCCCGTTAGTTGTTGTAGATTCTTCATTATGTTGATGCTCTTTAGCATTTAGTGTGATTTTGGAATGGCTGGTACTGGTTGTTCCTTTCTATGTGTAGTGCCTCTTTCAGGAGCTCTTGTAAAGCAGGCCTGGTGGTGACAAAATCTCTGGGTACTTGCTTGTTCGCAAAGGATTTTATTTTTCCTTCACTTCTGAAGCTCAGTTTGGCTGGATATGAAATTCTGGGTCGAAAGTTCTTTAAGAATGTTGAATATTGGCCCCCACTCTCTTCTGGCTTGTAGTGTTTCTGCCGAGAGATCTGCTGTGAGTCTGATGGGCTTCCCTTTGTGGGTGTCCCGACCTTTCTCTCTGGCTGCCCTTATTATTTTCTCCTTTATTTCAACCTTGTTGAATCTGACGATTATGTGCCTTGGGGTTGCTCTTCTTGTGGAATATCTTTGTGGTGTTCTCTGTATTTCCTACATTTGAGTGTTGACCTGTCTTGCTAGGTGGGGGAAATTTTCCTGGATGATGTCCTGAAGAGTATTTTCCAGCTTGGATTCATTCTCTTCGTCCCCTTCTGGTACACCTATCAAACGTAGGTTAGGTCTTTTCACATAGTCCCACATTTCTTGGAGACTTTGTTCATTCCTTTTTGCACTTTTTTCTTTGATCTTGGTTTCTCATTTTATTTCATTGAGTTGATCTTCGACTTCAGATATTCTTTCTTCTGCTTGGTCAATTCGGCTATTGAAACTTGTGCATGCTTCGCAAAGTTCTCGTATTGTGTTTTTCAGCTACTTTAGTTCATTCATATTCCTCTCTAAGTTATCCATTCTTGTATCCATTTCCTCAAATCTTTTTTCATATCTTTTTTCAAGGTTCTTAGTTTCTTTGCATTGATTTAATACATGTTCTTTTAGCTCACAAAAGTTTCTCATTATCCATCTTCTGAAGTCTAATTCCGTCATTTCGTCACAGTCATTCTCCGTCCAGCTTTGTTCCCTTGCTGGTGAGGAGTTTTGATCCCTTCTAGGAGGCGAGGTGTTCTGGTTTCGGGTGTTTTCCTCCTTTTTGCACTGGTTTCTTCCCATCTTTGTGGATTTATCCACTTGTCGTCTGCGTAGTTGCTGACTTTTCGATTGGGTCTCTTAGTGGACACCCAGATTGTTGGTGATGAAGTATTTCTGTTACTTGGTTTTCCTTCTACCAGTCTAGCCCCTTTGCTGTACGACTGCTGAGGTCCACTCCAGGCCCTGCTTGTTTGGGGTACACCTATAGCAGCTGCGGAACAGTGAGGGTTGCTACCAGTTTCTTTTTCTGCTATCTTTGTCCCAGGATGATGCCTGCCAAATGTCAGTCTTTTGGATATAGAGGGGTCAGGGAGCTGCTTGAGGAGACAGTCTGTACTTTATAGGAGCTCAATTGCTGAGCTGTGAGCTCTGTTGTTCATTCAGGGCTGTTAGGCTGCTATGTTTGATTCTGCTGCAACAGAGCTCATTAAAAAACCCCTTTTTTTCTCATATGCTCTGTCTTTGGGGGTTGGGGCTTTGTTTTTGGATGTCCGTTGAGGTGTCCTGCCCAGCTAGGAGGCAGTTTAATCACTATTTGACTGCCGAGGCTCCGCCTTGCTGTTGTGAGGCTCGCCCTGTTGCTGCAGGCTCTTGCTCTTCTGCTGCGTTCTCCACCACGGGCTACGCCCTGTAGCAGAGTCTCTCTGTTGTAGTGGGTTGCCTTGGCAACGGCAGGCTGCGTCAGCAGTGGACGTGTATCTCAGTAGGGGCGGGTTGCCTCAGCAACTGCAGGCTGCGTCAGCAGTGGGCGTGTGTCTCAGCCGGGGCGGGTTGCCTCGGTAATGGTGGATGCCCCGCCCCCACAGAGCGCCTCAGGGACAGTCTCCATGGCGAGCGTTTGGAATCGCCGTTTTGTCTGTCCCACTGCGCTATCCCACATGCTGTGTCCCTGCAATCCCCTGGGCTGGCCCACTGCCCAAGTCCCTTTCAGTCTCAAGTTCAGCCCCCTCAAGTCTCAGGTTGCCGTTTCAACAGGGCACCCGGACAAGCGCACCCTGTGGGGATCGCTGGGTAGGGCCGGCCGCCACCACCCCGGCTGCTGGCTTCTCCAGGCAGAGCCTCTGCCTGGTGTCCCGCATCTCCTTTATACTTGGGAATTTCCCCGTTCTGTGGGCAACAAAGATCAGTCTGAAAATGCAGCTTTGACTCACCTCTCTGCGGATTAACCGAGAGCTTAAATCCTGGGTTGTTGTCACAGTGCCATCTTGAGTTCCTCCTACATAACGAATTCTTTTAGAGAGTTGGGCAAGGTGGCTCACACCTGTAACCTCAGCACTTTGGGAGGCCGAGGCAGGTGGATCACCTGAGGTTAGGAGTTCAAGGCTAGCCTGGCTAACATGGTGAAACCCTGTCTCTACTAAAAATACAAAAATTAGCTGGGCATGGTGGCACACGTCTGTAATTCCAGCTACTCAGGAGGCTGAGGCAGGAGAATCACTTGAACCAGGGGGGCGGAGGTTGCAGTGAGCCGAGATCATACCACTACACTCCAGCCTGGGCCACAAAAGACTCTGGCTCAATAAATAAATAAAAATCTTTTAGAGTTTTTACCACTGATTTTGCAGGACCAATTAAAAAGATCTAAATTTTATTGATGCAATTCTTCTATTAAATTTGGTCAATAACTGGAAAGTTTTACTTTGTTGAGTATTTCTATCAAGTCTAATTTTTCTAGGGTCAATTTTGGCAACTTTTTTCTGATTTTTTGTTTTTCCCATCATTGGATAAATTTTGGCAATTTTAAATCTTGTGATTCTTCAGTAAGTTTTCTCCAATACATTTATCATGTGCAGTATTAGCTATTCTGGTTTTATTTGTACAATGAAAATGTATTTGTTGTGATTTAGATAAACAATTACTTGATTTTGCATCACAGCTGAAAATGAGGAATTGTAAATCCTCTCATTGGTTCTCCAGGTCTGTCTTTTCGGGTCAAAACATCTCACCATATTTCTCTTCTAGCTGTACTATCTTCACATAACTAATTCCTGTTTACATGTCAGATGCCAACACAAGCATCAATTTCTCAGGAAAGCCTCTTCTCATCCCTACTACATAAAGGATCCCTACTAGATAAAGGGTCCCTGTTATGCTGAGAGTTTTTCTTGTATCACAATAATTAGAGTTATAATTATATATTTCTCTGAGAATTTACTGTCTCCCTCAGACTTTGTTCCCTGAAAGGAATTTTTGTTTTCCTTACCACTGGGTCCCTGGCACATAAAAGGCACTCAAATTTAGTGAAATAATGATCAAAGGAAAATGGCATCTTATCTTGATCCCTAGTACACATATAATGCCTGATCAATAGTAGGCATTCATTAAAAGCTGTCTGGATTTCCCTATTTTTATTTCTGGATTGTTATGATCTGAAAGATAATAATCAGTTTTTTTCTCAATATTGATTTTTAAAGTTGAATCTTTAATGCTATGTATTTTTAAGCCTTTAATAGCTATGCTACTCTAATATTCTCCTATTCCTTTCTTATTAGGGCTGCTATACTGTACATCTCCAGGAAGATAAACTGTATTCCACAGAGCAGGAGGTTATTTGGAATCACTGCATCCTCACCTCTCTCTCAAAGAAAACACAGTCAGCTATCTCCTAAAGTTGCATATCATCACAGTTCTAATCCTTCGTTGTATATCTTAAGTACATAGGACACTTTAAGGACAGAAATGCTTGGGCCTCACCCTAAAATCATTGAATCAGAAAGTACTGAATTTCCCCACATGACTGAGGAGTTAGGAAACACTGGAAACATAGGATGAGTGTGGGAGAAGTAGTTAGACAATAATCTTGATAAGCAGCTTAACAACAGTGTACCTTGGTTTCAATACTAAAAAATTTGAAATTTAGTTCTACATATAGTGGTAACTATTAAAGATGTTCACAATGTAATGAAATAATCAGACTGACAAGAAAGCTTAACTTGGCATCAGTGTGGCAGATAGGCAAGAAGAGTATGAAGCCTGAGTCAGGGGTAGGAGGCTATTACAAGCTAAGGAATGGATGGTAAGGACTTAGACTGGCTGCAGTACAAGCAGGGAGGAAGAAAATGAGAAAGGACTCATAAAACATTGGATAGGACTTTGATCAACAAAATACATAAGCTGGGTGAAGGCTGAACACCATATAACATTATTTCCAGGCTAAGCAATTGAATGCAGTTTGATGATGTCATTAACCAAATAGGGAATATAGTGGAAGGATAGAATGGAGCAAATGGAGGAAATCAATTCTCTTTCTAGCTGTGATTCAGTTGAAGTTCTTTGTAGGCCCTTTAGATGGACCTAGAACAAGAAGAACTTGGAAATTAAGATTTGGAGTTCAGGAAAGAAGTTGAAGCTAAAATCTTAGGTTTGGGAGTCAACAGGGTACTTGGTAACACTTGAGGACATTAGAATGAGGGAAACTGAACAGGGAATTGTTCATGTAGAATCAAAAGTACCTAGCACAAAATTAAAGATAAACCAGACTTTCTTGTTAAATTTACTTAACCATACAATCTTAATAAAGCTTACACATAGCACCATTAAAAATAAGCAGAAGTTAATGTGAAGAATAGTAATAGAAAAATTATCTGCAAACTGTAGGACAACTTTAAATATGACTATTGTATCTCTGAAATTATTTAGAATCCATTAGTCTATTAGTTTGGAAAGACTGTCGTTTCTAGCTTATAAACAGCACATTCATCAAGTTGGCTCCTCATCTATATCAGTACTTCCCTAAATGAAACAATCAGATATTTGGTGATTTACTTCCTACAAAGTCAAGTCAATATACATAACTATTAAGTCAACTCATAAGAAATAGAGCCATGTATTTAACAAATGCAACTTCTCATATCAAGAGATTATCACTTAAAATGTGTCTATGTGTTTGTGTACTTGTGTGACAGGCAGTTTTGTAAAACTTCTCAACTTTAATAATCAAAATACTTGATTGGTCTGGAATTATTTTAACAGCAAAAAAGCAAAAAAACAAAACCAAACTTAAATTCACAGGGCCATGCTACTTCCAGAGGGTGAATGCCCTTGTTTGGAGTGAGTCTCTTAAATCTTCATTTTTAAGAGGTACCTAGGTAATTATGATGAAACAGGTTCAGGAAACTATATTTTGAGAAACATTACCATATATTAGATTTACATTTTAACTAAGACTGTTTTAAAAATGTTGAGAAATGTATAGACTGCAGAAAACTGTTTTAAATAACAATATTATATGGTTCAAGTAGAAAATACATTTTCTTTATTCAAATCATGTTGATATACATGAAGTTATACCAAAGCTGCATTTTAATCTCATCACATTCCACTCCAAATTCTTTACCATTTACCAAAAATAACTTTTAATAAAGCTTACTATTTTGTCTAATATTATACAATCAATCTATAATTTTTTGTGTTTATCTCAAAAATTAGAATAGCTTATGAGCATATTATATAAAACTAATTGGTATATTACACACCAAACATAAGTACAGATTCTGTACAATGTAATTATGTACATATATATTACAAGAGACTAAATGCCTTGTTGAGAGTAATTTTTTTTTTTTGAGATGGAGTCTTGCTCTGTCACCCAGGCTGAAGTACAGTGGCTCTGCCTCTGGGTTTAAGTGATTCTCTTGCCTCCGACTCCCGAGCAGCTGGAATTATACACACGCATCTGCCATCATGCCCGGCTAAGTTTTGTATTTTTGTAGAGATGGGGTTTCACCATGTTGACCTGGCAGGTCTTGAACTCCTCCTGTCAGGTGACCTACCTGCCTCAGCCTCCCATAGTGCTGGGATTACAGGAGTGTGCCACTACGCCTGGCGAAAAGTAGTATTTTAAGAAATCTTTCATGGAAAAAAGCTCTGCATTATAAAATGTGGTAGCTTGAGTAACAGTTACTTTTCTTTCATGAATTTCTTTCAGTGGGCATTAACTGTCCATTTAGCTTCATTAACAGTTTTACCACAAGACCAGCCTACAAAGTAAAAGATGACAACAATAAATATAAAACATGTAAAAATGTTTAAAGGACATACATGACACTGGGCAGTTCCCTATCTATTTGAAAGGGAACTTATCAGGAGACAGCTTGTTAAGAAAGAGTATAGAGGGGATATTTACTCAGGCGTTTGAATGGACTTAAGAAGCGATCTGCTGGATACAGCTAGGGGGCACAGGTAAGTCAAGAAGAGGGAAGAACTACCTAATACTTTGATAGAAGAAATAGGTAATAGTGACCAGAATTAAAAGATATGGCACAAGAAACAATTTGTTATAAAGTAAAATAAACTATTCAGATAAGTTTCTGACTTTCCTTGCTTAGAAGGCCTGCCTTTTTTCCTTGGCCTTAAATATTTTCATTTCATGGAATATTACAGATTTTCCTTGAAGTTAAATGGATGTCTCTTTTTAAAAAAAGAAGTAACTTTCCTAACTCAGTAGTTCATTGTTAGAAGTCCAAAATAAATAATACTTACCTGTTTTGTATGTACTATAAAGCTCATTTTATTTTCCATGCTATGGATCTGAAAACAAGTATCAGCATCTCCCAATTGCCACATAAAACAACCATACTTAAGACTGATAAGTAAAGCCTGCAACAAAATTGGAAATCATTATATTGAAATATATATTAAAAACATCACCTATTTTCTCTTATTATTTACATTTACGTAGTCTGGTCTAAATATTATTGTTCAGAATGTTTTAATAAAGCCTTTTCAAAGCACCCACACTACCTCCATACAGCCTGCAGCACAGAATCACATAGACCAGTAGACTCTCAGGAGAGTGCCGTGAGCAATATTTGTTGTATAAGATTGACAAAAGTTCTTTATAATGTCAATTCTATCCATGGTTTTCAGGATAATGAAAGATACTACCTTTATTTTCTTCTTGCAGGTTAAAAACTATCTCTTTATTCAGCATCTTTCTTTTGAATATTTACATAGTACTTTCAGATCTACAGTTTATGCAACTGGGGTAACATGTTTATTTAGGCAATCTCTTCCCACTAAAAATAAGTACTCTGACATATTTATTGTAAAAGTAAGCATAATTTTAAAAATTATTAATAATTGGGCCAGGCACACTGGCTCACGCCTTTAATCCCAGCACTTTGGGAGGCCAAGGCGGGTGGATCACGAGGTCAAGAGATCGAGACCATCCTGGTCAACATAGTGAAACCCTGTCTCTACTAAAAATACAAAAAATTAGCTGGGCATGGTGGTGCAGGCCTGTAATCCCAGCTACTTAGGAGGCTGAGGCAGGAGAATTGCCTGAACCCAGGAAGTGGAGGTTGTGGTGAGCCAAGATCACGCCATTGCACTCCAGCCTGGGTAACAAGAGCAAAACTCCATCTCAAAAAAAAAAAAAAAATTAATAATTTAAAAACATAATATATTTTTACAATAAATATATCAGAGTATGTAATTTAAATTAATAGTTAAAAATCAAATTCTTGTGTTAAAGGACAATGTACAGTAAGGAAGGAATTATTGAGAAACCTAAAATAATGAAAACAGCTCAATGGAGCTAAAGAGCCAAAGGATCATCCACATGATGGTTGTAGGTGATCACTGCACAAAAAGGAAAAAGCAGCTCTCATTAGAAGGTAAAATCTATAATTGCAAAGGTTTCATTAAGGAAAGTCAAACATCACAAGAGAAAGAGTTGAGAAGAGTAGCTGAGAGCAGAAAAGGAAAACCCACAGAAGTCAGAAGTAGCACATGGGTGACCAGCAGACAGAAGAAATAGTGATGTTGACAACTGGTCATGTAGAGTGTTATTATGTGGGTATTTAAACAACCAGTCTTATATCAGAAGGGCTTTATGGTAAACATAAATTGACATCAGCAGAAGATTGTCTATTGCCTGGGTGTGACAGTGGTACTATTAAATTTAAAGACATATCAACCGGTACAGTTCAGTTGGGAAGACTGTAACATATTCACTATAACAAAACATAACGCCACAACACAGGACACTTAACAGCTCAATAGTGTTTACATTTTATGTTAGCAGAACAGACAAGTCTCTCATGAGCATATGTAACTGGCTGAGCTATGTTTTCTGCTGGGCAACTTTCATTATTTCAAAGAGAAACTACCTATAGAAGGTAGAAGTAATTGATAAAAAAAACACAACTGTGCCCCATGGCTTTTCCTGAGAATCTCTGACACTAATATATCCTATGTAGTGTTTTAAATACAATTGAAGGTATTTTTGCCGATGAAGGTGTTTGCTCTAGTTTTGCAAAGCTTGTTGAATTCAATCCTAGCAGATCTTGACAACTAAGATTGTCCTAAACAACTAAGGACAAGCTGGTTGTTCCCACATTTGACAGCTGAAATATGTAATTATCTTAGAGCTTTATCAGTGGTTTACAGAGAACAAGGTAATACCTAGATAGATAGAAAATATCTTTACTCTTTGGTCCAATCACCTTTTTAGATACGTAAGGACAGCATTTCTATTTGTAGTTAAGGAAACTGAATCTCTTATCTAAGAAAAAGCAGACTTTTCATTAAGAATATTATTGTCATCCTCTGTCTGTTACTGCTACCTCTCCTGGATCAGAATATTATACATAATATGAAATGTTATATTTTAATGTTAAATAATGTTGCTAAACCATCATTTGAATACTATATAAAACTGTTTTATTGCTGAAAATTGGAATGCTAACAAAAGTGAAACATAAAATACAGTTTAGAGAAATGGCACAGCATCACCATTCAGTTCTATGAAAAGTGATTTGTAGATGTTGGTATAAAATGCTCTGAAACAGCAGAGGAAAAGTTTCTTGAAATGCTGGGGAGCATTTCTACCTCATTTCCTTTAATGAACTTAGTCCAAGAGAAATAGAAAAGTGGTTACAAGCTAATAAACAGCAGCCTATTTTGTGTGAGCAAAATAGTATTAACAGAAAATGAGGATGGGTGTAGTGGCTCACACCTGAAATCCCAGGACTTTGGGAGGCCAAGGTAAGAGAATCACCTTGTAGAGATAGGGTCTCACTTTGGTGCCCACACCAGGAGTTTGAGACCAGCCTGGGAAACAAACTGAGACCCTATCTCTACAAATAATTAAAAAATTAGCTGGGTGTGGTGGCATATGCCTGTAGTCCCAACTACTTGGGGAGCAGAGGCAGGAGGATCACCTGAGCCCAGGAGTTTGCAGCTGCAGTGAGCTATGATGCTGTCACTGCCCTCCAGCCTGGGCAACAGAGTGAGACTGTCCTAAGGGGAGAAAAAAAAGAAAGAAAGAAAGAAAAAGAAAATGATAAGCAAATGACCCAAAAGCAGGGTGACTGTAAGAGGGCAATCCCAACCTTTTTGGTACCAGGGACTGGTTTCATGGAAGACAATTTTTCCACAGACGGGGTGTGGGGAATGGTTTTGGGATCAAGCGCATTTCATTTATTGTGTACTTTATTTCTATTACTATTACATTATAATATGTAATAAAATAATTACACAACTCACCATAATGTAACATCATTGGGAGCCCTGAGGTTGTTTTTCTGCAACTAGATGGTCCCATCTGGGGGTGATGGGAGACAGTGACAGAGTCATCAGGCATTACATTCTCTTAAGGGGCATGCAACCTAGCTAGATCCCTTGCATGTGCAATTCACAAGAGGGTTCATGCTCCTATGAGAATCTAATGCTGCTGCTGATCTGACAGGAGGCAGAGCTCAGACGGTGCTCAGATGGTAATGTGAGTGATAGGGAGCGGCTGTAAATACAGATGAAGCTTCATTTGCTGCTCATCTCCTGCTGTGTGGCCCGGTTCCTCCCAGGCCATGAACCGGTGCCAATCCATGGCCTCGGGGTTGGGGACCCCTGCTATAACAGACTTCAGGAAATTAAGCTCTAGGTCAATTACTGAAATCAGACTGTATTCCACCCTATGTCCGTAGATAGTTCATCTCCATTCACATGTATATCTATCAAAGTAACTGCTGCCCTTAAAGATTACCCTGAAAATTAATATAAAATGACTAAACTATGACAGATATTTCAGGAAGTTATGTGATTATAAAGACATATAAAAATGAGGAAAATAAAAATTGGGTTAAAAATGAAATTTCCTGATCTAAATGCCTTTTAAAAATGCATAATCTTCATTATTACTTTAACTGATTTGGTCTATTCTTAACAAATTTTAATTAACAAATTACAAAGCAGGTGGATCACTGGAGGTCAGAAGTTTGGGACCAGCCCTGCAAATCGGATGAAACCCTGTCTCTACTAAAAATACAAAAATTAGGCGGGCATGGTAGTCCATGCTTATAATCCCAGCAACTTGAAAGGCTAAGGCAGGAGGATTCCTTGATCCTGGGGGGCAGAGATTGTAGTGAGCCAAGATCATGCCACTGCACTCAGCCTGGCTGACAGAGCAAGACTGTCTCAAAAAACAAACCGAACCAAAGTGAATTTGATTTTCATTAGCTTCCTATTATAAACTAAAAGGCTGTTCATCCCATTTAAATGTGTTAAATATGCTAAAAAATAATTGAGAAACATATTCTACAATGACTTACAGTTAGAAAAAGGAGTACCCTACACTAACTTCTAACTGAATAGCTCTAAAGTGGGACTGAAAAGGGTCTGACCCACCTACTGTTGCTGTCACCTGTTTCAGTGCCAGGAGGTAAACCCACCTGCCTGTCACCAGCACCCACAAACACCAGAGGTGGGCTTGGAGAGAAGCCTTCCCTACCTACCACTGCCACTGGCACAAACTGTCTAGGGGCCTGAGGACAAGCCTGCCCTGCCCACTGCCACTGTCAACCATGCCTAAGCATGCCATCGAAGGGCCTGAGGACTGATTCAACTGGCATGCTGCTGCCATTGCCTGCATACACCATCAGAGGGCCTGAGGACAGGCCTGTTCTGCCTGCCATTGGTGCCTGCACGTGTCATCTGGGGCCTGAGGACTGTTCTGCTCTGCCTATGCCTGCTGGTGCCCAGCACTATCTAGGGGCCTGAGGAAAGGCATGCCCTGCCTACTGGTACAACCACTGGTGCCTGAGCACTGGCCTGCCTGCAGTCACAATCCCCAGAAAAGCCTCACTACAGCCTCCATTAACAACAACCGTTTAAGCCACTCAGGGACTCAGAGACACCACTAATGCTGATAAAGCTGAAGAAATCATAGGGAGACCATACTACTGCACTCACCCAGAATCAAAGCCAAAGCACTCTATCCAACCAACACTATAGCTAGTACATCTATAGGAAAAAGTCTTTCCCTACAAAAGCCAATGCATAAAATAGGAAGAAGTGACATCAGATATGCAGATATAAACATAAGGATACAAAAAACATTGAAAAGCAAGAAAACATGACATCTTCAAAGGAAAACAGTAATTCTTCAGTAATATATCCTCCCCCAAAATTCTGAAATGCCTAAAAATCAAAATAATGATATTAAAGAAACTCAGTGTGATATAAGATAGATATCATAACAAAAGTACATAATCCTGGAATGGAAGCACTCAATAAATGAAATAAAAAATACAACTGAGAGCTTCAACAATAGACTAGATCAAGCAGAATAAAGAATTTGTGAACTTGAAGGCAGATACCTTAAAATAATCCAGGCAGACCAAAAAAAAAAGGGAAAAAAATAAGTAAAAGAAAAAGAATGAAGAAAGCCAGTGTGATATGTGGGGCACCATAAAGTGACCAAATAGTTGAATTCTGAGATTTTAGAAGGAGAAGAAATGGAGAAAGACAAAGAAAACCTACTCAATAAAATAATAGCTGAAAACTCCCCAAGTCTTGTAAGAGATGTAGACATCAAGATACAGGAAGCTCAAATATACCCAAACAGATCTGACCTAAAAAGGTCTTTCCCAAGGCATGTTATAAACTGTCAAAACTCAAAGACAAAAAGATAATTCTAAAAACCATGAGAAAGGCCAGGTGCGGTGGCTCACACCTATAATCCCAGCACTTTGGGAGGCCGAGGCAGGTGGATCACGAGGTCAAGAGATCGAGACCATCCTGGTCAACAAGGTGAAACCCTGTCTCTACTCAAAATACAAAAATTAGCTGGGCACGGTGGCGCGCGCCTGTAGTCCCAGCTACTCAGGAGGCTGAGGCAGGAGAATTGCTTGAACCCAGGAGGCGGAGGTTGCGGTGAGCCGAGATTGCGCCATTGCACTCCAGCCTGGGTAACAAGAGCGAAACTCTGTCTCAAATAAAAATTAAAATTAAAAATAAAAATAAAAACCATGAGAAATGCATCATGATACATATAAGGACACTGCCATCAAACAAACAACAAATTTCTCAGAAGAAACTACAGGCCAGAAGAGACTGGGATGATATATTTAAAATGCTAAAAGTTAAAAAAAAAAAAAGGCTTTATATTAGGTAGGTGCAAAAGTAATTGCAGTTTTTGCCACTGTTATTAGATCTAAAAGGAAAGACAGATTCCAATAAAATAATAGTTGGGGAATTCAACATCCCTATCTCAACACTAAATGGATCAAAAGAAATTAATGAAGAAACACTGGATTTAAACTACACTAGACTAAATGGATCTAACAGCTGGGTGCAGTGGTTCACACCTGTAATCCCAGCACTTTGGGAGGCCAAGGCAGGTGGATCACCTGAGGCCAAGGAGTTTGAGACCAGCCTGGGCAACATGGCTAAACCCTGTCTCTACTAAAAATATAAAAATTAGCCAGGCATGGTGGTGCCTGCCAGTAATCCCAGCTATTCAGGAAGCTAAGTCAGAAGAATTGCTTGAACCCAGGAGGCAGAGGTTTTATAGTGAGCTGAGATTGTTCACTGCACCTCCAGCCTAAGCAACAGAGTAGCACTCTGTCTCAAAAAAATAAAACAAAATAAAAAATAAACAGATGGATCTAACAGACATTTGCAAAACATTTCATCCATCAGCTGCAGAACACACATTCTCCAACACACATTCTCTAGGATACACCATCAGTTAGGCCACAAAACAAATCCCAGTAAACTTTGTAAAAGTATCTTCTCAGATCACAATGAAATAAAACTATAAATCAACAACAAAATCAATTGTGGGAACTGTACAAAAAATGGAAATTAAAAAACACGCTCCTGAAGGACCATTGGGTCAATTAAAAAATTAAGAATAGCTGGGCACGGTGGCTCAAGCCTGTAATCCCAGCACTTTGGGAGGCCAAGGCGGGTGGATCACGAGGTCAAGAGATCGAGACCATCCTGGTCAACATGGTGAAACCCCGTCTCTACTAAAAATACAAAAAATTAGCTGGGCATGATGGCACGTGCCTGTAATCCCAGCTATTCAGGAGGCTGAGGCAGGAGAATTGCCTGAACCCAGGAGGCGGAGGTTGCGGTGAGCTGAGATCACGCCATTGCACTCCAGCCTGGGTAACAAGAGCGAAACTCCGTGTCAAAAAAAAAAAAAAAAAAATTAAGAATAAAAAAATTTCTCAAATGCAATGAAAATAAAAACACCATATACCCAAACCTAAGGGATATAGCAAAAGCAGTGTAAGAGGAAAGTTTATTGCAATAAACATCTACGGCAAAAAAGTAGGAAGATCTCAAACACTTAGTGATTTATCTCAAGGAACTAGAAAAGCAAGAAAAAACCAAACATGAAATTAGCAGACAGAAAGAAATAAGATCAGACCAGAACTAAAAGAAAGACTGAAAAAAAATATTACAAAGGATCAGTAAAATGAAAATTTGGTTCTTCAGAAAGATAAAATGAATAAACTGTGTTAGGTAGGCTAACCAAGAGAAAAAGAAGATCTAAAAAAACAAAATCATAAATGATAAAAGGGACAACTGAGACCACAGAAATAACAAAGGATCACTAGAGACTATTAGGACCAATGATACAGTAACAAATTGGAAAACCGAGAAGAAAAAGATAAATTTCTAGACAGAGACAACCCACCAATATTGTACCAGGAAAAAAAAGAAAACCTCAACAAATTCTCAGCAATGAGGTTGAATCAGGAACAAAAAGTATTCCAACAAAAACCAGATGACTTCACTGCTAAATTCTACCAAACCTATAATGAAGAGCTAATACCAATTCTTCTGAAACTGGCCCAAAAAACTGAAGAGAAGGGAATTCTTCCTAACTCATTCAACGAGGCCAGCATCATTCTGATAACAAAACCAGACAAAGACACAACAAAAAAAGAAAATAAGAGGCCAACAGTCCTGATAAACATAGATGCAAAAATCCTCCACAAAATACTACCAAACTGTGTCCAACAACACATCAAAAAGATGGGATTTATTCCTGGGAGGCAAGGCTGATTCCACATATGTAAATTAGTAAGTGTGATACAATCAATAGAATGAGGGACAAAAACCATATAATAGTTTCAGTAAGTGCAGAAAAAGAACTGCATGAAGTTCAATATCCTATTGTGATGGGGAAAAAAAACTCAACGAATTAGGCATAAAAGGAACATATTATCAACCAATAAAACCCATATATGAC